ACCCACAACCTTCCTTCCCCATGACAAACAAAACTGAGAAGAAAGAAGTTTAAGTTCCGAAACCCGTTCAATAGTGAGCACTAATATTTTGTCTTATAGAAGATTCTCTGACTACGTTCTTTCCATCTTTCCTTTTCTGGGTCCAGTTTGTTTGCGGGTGGTTGGAGGGCGCCACTGGCAGGTCCTACTTCTTTACTTTCCCACTGTTGTTTCTGTCTGTGTGTATTACTTTTTCCAAGCACTAAATGACCACTATTGTCTCGATGTGCTTCTCCTTACTCAAACAAGCAAAGTACTTTTTTTTCCCCTCTCGGTAAGAATGAATAGTTTCACTTCTAATCTACTGTTCCCGGGAAAGCGGATAGGTTAATGAGTGAGCATCTTAACTTACACCGGGAGAAGGTGGGGTGGGGAAAATATCCAAATCAACACCTTAAGAGAATCTTAGACAACATTTAACATTTTGAAAGTTTCAGAGAATATAAAATCATTTGCTTTGCAGGCTTATTTATTCAGACATCGGTGTCGAAACTGACAAGATCTATCATTTGTTGCCCGTAATTCCATTTTGTTCCGCGTGACTTTCTCCTGGTTTTTCCCTAGCTTCCGCAATAATATTACTATACTCATTTACATCACATAGTGAAAAGACTAACGTGGAAATTCCAAATTCCACCGTGCAGGGCTGTGACAGCGAAACGAAAATTATACAGGCGCTTGCATTGTTTGCTTATCACCGTGGTGTTCTCACATCATGGGGTCTTTATGGTGCTTTGGTAGATCGCAGTTCTGACAAATATCTCACAGCAGTGTCCTCACTCCCATAGCATTTTTGTTGATTCGGTTTTTAGATGTTGAGGAACCTTTTACAATTATTTATCTCTCAAATATAATATTTAAACAAACCAGTAAAAATACAGTGTCTATGATTCCCTTTCGATCAAAATGCATGATGAAATGTGGGCCAAGAAGAATGAACAGTTATAAAGAATCACCCCTTTTCTAGTCTCTATCTGTCTGTCTGTCTGTCTGTCTGTCTGTCTGTCTGTATGTCTGTATGTCTGTCTGTATGTCTGTCTGTCTGTCTGTCTGTCTGTCTGTCTGTCTGTCCGTCTCTCTCTCTCCCTCTCTCTCTCTCTCTCTCTCTCTCTCTCTCTCTCTCTCTCTCTTTCTTGGATTGTATCATAATGTAAGTATGTGATTTTAACCCACTTTTTCACAATGGGGGTTGGGGCAAGGAGTGGATAGGTACTGGCATGGCCCTACTTCTCACCCACAGGGGATGCTGGCCCTTTAGCGCTTTCAAGTGTACGCGTCATATAAAAACAAAATGTAAGACTTCTTAGTCTTTGTTCCTCTTTCCCTACTTTTTACTGTATTCTGACTACGGACTTCATTTCGAAATGGGGAGTTCCATAAGATCAGTTGGCATCATGCTTGACTAAGGACTGCACAATCCTGGTCCGATTTCCTGACTGGGTGTTCGCGAACTCGGGTCGTTTTGTGGAGGTTCCGAGAGTGGGTGGTTGGTGCTGGCGCGTGATCTGGTGTGGTTTGCTCTTTCTTTTTCTACCAAGTCCTGTAAAACTCCTACTTTCAAGGATTTCAATTCATTAGACAGGGTCCTTTCGTGGATGGACGTTAAATTCAGATGCCCCATGACTTCTTTGATAACCTCGCAGTCTTGAAAGAGATTTTACTCTTACTTTCGCTTCGAAGTAACATGTTGGCGTCCAGTAGTGAGTTTCGATTGTCTCAAAACAAGTAACCATGACCTTCCAAGTAAGACACACCGGGCCCTGAGACAGGAAACGTGGCCAACCCCACTAACGCTACAAGAGAAGTTATATGGGCGGACAGATGAACTGAGCAGGACGGCCCAATTTATGACAGATACCAGACTTCAAGTGTGATGCGATCGAGAAGAAGAAGAGAACCTTCCAGGTAATATTCTACGGTAAGTTTCTTTTCTTCCCTTTACTGTAATCCAATTCCTGTTCTCCGCTTTAAAGTAAACAGCTTGTGTCTAGCAGCGGGTTCATAATTTTGTTTTAAAGCCAAGAGACATCCTATCGCAGGTCTTCAGATTGCAAGGTCAGAATGATGTCCTTTAATTTTTGTTGAAGTAAGAGTTTTACGGCACTTGCAAATTAGATTATACGCTATTTAAGTGCAAACGTTTAGAGGTGTTACAAGAGAGTAACAAACACAAAAAGAAAGAGAGATACGGACGATAGATGTTGGATAGGAAAGAAGGAGCAAACTACATCATAGTACCCGCCAAACACCCACTTGTTCACCCAACAGTAAATGTTTAGGTCCCAAATTGACACAGCTTAGGTCATTTAAGAATCAGGCTGCTTCGATCCTTCCTGCTTGGTCAAAACGGTTAGAAGGATACGACATCCCGAAAAACTCAGAGACGGAGATACTCGATAACAGAGATTGTCACATTCAGGAATTGAACACGTGTCTTTTGTATGTTACAGTGAACAGCTTAACCATTACTGGTGTAATAATATGCTACAGTACACCATACGAATTCAAAGGATATCTCCAGGGTCTGTGGTGAAGGGGTTAGGCACTTAACTGTCGCGCACAGGAGACCCTAGTTCAATTTCCGAGTGGAGATACATTTTCCTCGAGTATCTCGGTCTCTCTGCTGGTGTACTGAATCTCTTTCATGTCGTGTTATCTCTGATAGACATGATCGGGAGCACGCCTCCTAAATAATATAAACTGTGTTGATTCGGGGGTGGGGGTGGAGGGGAACACCCTTATTGACCAAAGGAAATGGAATGCTCACCTACACCTCCAGATGGGTTCGTTATTCTTGGAATGTCCCAACGTAATCCAATTGGTCTCTCTACCTGGCTGTCACCTGAAACAACAAGCGCAATGTACTCAAATACTCCAGAAAATATCTGAACCATAAACACATTTTTACAAAATAAAAATACCACCGTCTTTGGTGTAGTAACAATTAGGCAATGGGCAGGCGCACGCAAAAGACGTGTGGCCGATTCCTGAGAAGGGGGACTTTTTGTGTGTATTTTTGTTGAGTAATGCGTCTCTCAGCCAAGGTTGGCCCTGACAGGCAGAGTCGAAGCAGCCAGTATGTAAGATTATCTAAATAGTGTCGATGGGAGCATATAACACACACAATTACACTTCTATTACAAACTAAATGGAGAACAACTGACTTTTATTGATCCAGCTAGAGAAGTGTTGCTATCAATAGCAAACACAATCCACACACGAAATAATTCATTGGTCACACAAACTTATATAATACACAATAGAACAGAACCGCCGACAGCTTTATAAATGTGCCATTGTTGGTTGCCTGTGTGAAAAAACCTGTTCGTGGATGGCTGGCGGGTGCTCTGGTGCTGTTTTCTCCTTCTGTACTTCTACCATCTCTCGTCTTTATCTCTCCTTCGTTTCTGTTTTTTTCTTTTTTGTTTTTTGTTTTTCTTTGTTGTTGTTATTGTTTGTTTTGTTTCTTGTTATTGTTGTTTTTTGTTTTTGGTATGTTACTCTCTAGTGACACCTCTCAAGGCTGGCCCACATGTGTCTTATTTGTGTTGCAAATGCCGTAAAACTCGTCCTAAAACTAAATTACGAGACCTGTTTTCGAGCTTAAGGTTTCGTTTCTTGCTCGGACAAGTAATACACCTAAAGCGGTGAACATCCACTGACACGACGAGTTTCCAACATTGCTTGAGATTTTTTGGAGAGTTGATCTCACAGACAATCCACTACCACAACATGTGTGTGTGTGTGCGTGTGTGCGTGTGTGTGTGTGTATGTGTTTGTGTATGCGTGTGTTCGTATGTATGTGTGTATGTGTGTGTGTTCGCGTATGTTTCATACCTGTGCGAATATACGTGTGTGAGTGCCTCTGTGTGTCTGTGTGTGTGTTGGGGGGGGCAGAGAAAAAGAGAAATGTGTGTTTGTGTGCGTTTGTGTCTTTGTGTGTGTGTGTGGGTGTGTGTGTGTGTGTGTGTGAGAGA